ACACACACACACACACAGAGACACACACACACACACACACACACCACACACCCCTCCCTGCCCAGCCAGGCACTCCCAGGCTCAAACCCAAAGGATCTGGGAAAAGGCTGCCCAGGTGGCTCTCCCTGGGCTGCTTCGCTCACAGACCCTGCACCCTCCCTGACTCCACGGTGCTGCACAAAGCTCAGGGGCTGGGATAATGCAGGTGATACAAGCAGGAGACAATCAACACCTCACATTCCCAGGGCAGGGGTCAGAGGTGACAGCCAGGGCTCTGCCAGGTGCTGGGGGCACACCTGAGGGACAGCCCGGCTCCCTCCTGGGGCACACCTGAGGGACACACCTGAGGGACATCCCGGCTCCCTCCTGGGGCACACCTGAGGGACATCCCGGCTCCCTCCTGGGGCACACCTGAGGGACACACCTGAGGGACATCCCGGCTCCCTCCTGGGGCACACCTGAGGGACAGCCCAGCTCCCTCCCCAGCCCCAGCACCTCCCTCACTGCAGCACGGCCCCGGGGCACAGCTGGGACTCACCCGCGCTCTGGATGAGGAAATTCACCACCTCGATCCTGTCGAAATAAATCATCACTCCCCCGCTGCAAAGGGAGAAAGCACAAAATGATCCTTGCAGGAAGGGACTGACCCCTCCGGTGGGACCACCCAGCACACCCCAGCCCCTGTCCCGGAGCTCCCGGTCCCGGGGAGGCCCTGCAGAGCCTCCCGGTGAGCCCAGCCGGGGCTGCAGAGCGGTTCGGTGTCTGAGGAGTCTCTGGGACGAAAGGGAAGAGCGAACTCCTCACCTGGTGCCGCACGGGACATTCTTCACCTCGTCCGTCTGCAGCGTGGTCTGCAGGGGATTGAAGGAAAGAGGTTTAAGAGAGGGATTTCCCCGGCACAAATCCCACCGAGCTGGCGAGAGCCGCCTCTGCCCGGTACCGGCACGGCCGCAGCCGCGGCCAGCCCGGTGTGACAGCCGGGCTCCCCCGGTGCCCGCCCCGCCCGGGCCCGGGCCCAGCAGCACCTGCACTGACTTGTAGGACGTGATGAAGGGCAGCATGAGGTGGAAACCGGGCCCGCTGGTGGAGGTCAGCAGCGCGCCGCCACTGCGGAGGGAACGGGACGGAGAGAGAGAGAGAGAGAGAGGGGGAACGGTGAGCGGCGGCGGCTGGCCGGGGCCCGGCCCGCTCCCCGCACGAGGCCCCCCGGGCTGTCTCACCGGTAGTAGACGCCGATGTGCCCCTCGTCGATCTTGTGCACGGCCGAGAGCAGCGCGGCGGCCGCGACGCCGAGGGCGAGCGCGGCGATGGCGCCGAGCTGGGCCATGCCCGGCACCGGCGGCGGCACCGGCGGCGCGCCACTGACGTCATCGCCGCGCGCCCGCGCCGCCGCCGCCAGGGGGCGATGGAGGAGCGGGGATGTGGCGCCGGAGGCCGCGGGTTCGAGACCCGCCCGCGCCCGCCGCGGGTCGCGGTGCGGAGCCCCCGGGGCTCTCCCCGCCCGAGCCGGGCACAGAGCGCCGAGTGTCGGCGGGGACAGCGAGACTCGTCCCGCTGCAGCCCTGCCACGGGCCGGGATAGTCCCATTTCCACTTCCCACTGTTCCACGTTTCCCACCGAAGATCCTCCGTGGATCACCCACGGGGTGATCCAGTCCGGCTCCTGGTCCTGCACACACCCCAACAACCCCACCGTGTCCCTGCGAGCGCCGGCCAAATGTCCGAGCAGGAGCCTGGATTCCCCTCTGGCAACTACTGTTCTCAGCCAGAACATTTTCATTTCACATTTATATCGGCGCCCTCCCCCGGCATCGCCCCGACACGGACCCCCCGGCTCGCCGGGCCTGCTTTGGGCAATCTCAGGAAATGGGATGGGCCAGAAAACAGAACCGTCCAGCTCTGATCCTGGAAAGGGCCTTAAAAACCACGGGAGAGACGGATAAAACGTCAGTAAGGGAGAATGATTTGATCTTTACTCGTGATGGATCTCCGAGGTTATACATAACAGCCCTGTCAGGAGGGTTCAGCGCCATTTAGGAATAAGGAATGAAATATCCACGATATTTGTCAATCCAAATTTTACAGCTCTTAAAGAAGCGCAAAAGGGCGCCAGAGATGAAAAACACCCTGTAGTTGGTGTTTTTTTAAAGGCGGTTGCCCAGATTTAAGGCCTTGATAAAATGTATTAAATCTTTAAGGGTTTTAATGAATCTAGTGTGTGTTTCATAAATCACAAACCTCTGCTCAGCCCCTCTCAGTTTAATAAGGGTAAACTAGGAAATTGCTCTGAGCTGGAGCAAAATGCATCCATGGAATATTGAAAAGTAATAGGTTTTTAAATGTGGGGTGTTCTGGCTCACAGGAGAGGTTTTGCTTCATAACAGCGGCACTATATCACTGCCCTGAGCGGGAAACCAGCTGCGGCCACGTGTTTAACAGCATCAAGATGTGAACCAGCACAAAGGTAAATATTATTTGTAATAATCCTAAAAAAAAAAAAATGAAAGCCAAAAAAAATCATTACCGCTGGACTTGAAGCCAGGAACATTCAGTGGTGTCTGTGCCACAGCTCTCGGGGTTTTAACAGGGCTGTTTGTAGGAATAAATGGTTTATTGCACCCAGTTCTCTCCAGCTTGTTCATCCCTACCTCATCCCCCTGCCCTTGTAAAAATCTCCTGTGGGGTTTTCTGTGGAGTTCAGTGAGACCATCTGGGGGTCTCTGGGTGCTCATGGCTCCAGACTCGTGGGGATGGAGCTGGGATGGGACCCAGGCAGGCCCTGGGTGGGATAAGGGCAGAGCTGGGATAGCCACGGGCAGAGCTGGGATGGCCACGGGCAGAGCTGGGATAGCCACGGGCACAGCTGGGATGGCCATGGGCAGAGCTGGGATGGCCATGGGCAGAGCTGGGATGGCTGTGGGCACATTTGGGATAGCCATGGGCAGAGCTGGGATGGCCACGGGCAGAGCTGGGATGGCTGTGGGCACAGCTGGGATGGCCTGGGCACATTTGGGATAGCCATGGGCAGAGCTGGGATGGCCATGGGCACAGCTGGGATAGCCAAGGGCAGCCCCAGTGGGACAGGCCCAGCTCCATCCCGGCAGGCCCAGCTCAGTCTTGGCACAGCTGGCTCAAGCCTGGCTCAGTCCTGGCAGGCTTGGCTCAAGCCCGGCTCGGTCCTGGCAGGCCTGGCTCGGTCCTGGCAAGCCCGGCTCGGTCCCGGCAGGTCTGGCTCAAGCCCGGCTCGGTCCCGGCAGGTCTGGCTCAAGCCCGGCTCGGTCCCAGCAGGTCTGGCTCAAGCCCGGCTCGGTCCTGGCTGGTCTGGCTCAAGCCCGTCTCGGTCCCGGCAGGTCTGGCTCAAGCCCGGCTCGGTCCCGGCAGGTCTGGCTCAAGCCTGGCTCAGTCCTGGCAGGCCCGGCTCAGTCCCGGTGGGGCAGTGCAAGGCGCGGTGTGAAGCCTGTCTGCCCTCGTTAGCTGTCAGCAGTAACAATGCTGGGCTGGCAATAAAGGCAATTCCGAGGCTGTTGGCCATTAATCACCGCCTGACAGCTGGGAATGGGGCTGGAAAAACTCTGTCCCCACGCTCCTGCTTTGGCGTTTAAGGTTACCTGTGCAGCTGGAGCGGGGGGGTGGAAAGCTCTGCTCGCCAGTCCTGCCCCAACCCCACTCCTGTCTCCATCTCCATTTCTACCCTGTCCCAGACCCCATCCCAAATTCTGCCTCCATCTCTAGTTCCACCCCATTTGTGGATACATCCCATCCCATTGATCCCATCCCATGAATCCCATCCATGGATCCCATCCTATCCCATCCCCGCTGTCCCCTAGCTGAAACCTGAAGCAGCAGTGGAGCCCAGGAAGGGAAATCCCTGGGAGGAGCTGGGAGGCCGGGGGTGCTTGGCTGGGCCCCTTCCTGCTCTGCTCCAGCTCTGGCTCTGGCAGGCAGGGCAGGGCAGGGCGGGGATGGCAGGGGCTGTGTGGGGAAACGCTTCCCCAGTTCTGTCCATTGGATGTTATTTGCTGATTACGGGGCAGAGCTGTGTTTGAGAGTGTCCGGGCTCGTTCCGTGTCAGCTCTAACAATGCAGCTCTTGGCAGCGCAGGCAGCTCGGTGGCGTTGGCCATTAATCATCCCCTGACAGTCCGGAGCTCACACGTGGTCCTGGTGCCCCCTCCCCACGGCCGGCGGGGCAGGGGGGCTTCCTCCACCTTGGGCCCACCCAAACCCATGAGCTGAGGGTCCTGGACCCACATCCCCTCGAAAGGGCGTGTGGGGCGGGTGGAGAGTGGGGAGACATTCCTGCCCTTGCCGTGGGGCAACCAAGCTCCCAGGGAACAGCCCCTGGGAGGAGGCTCTTGGGAAAGCACTACAGCACGTGGCATTTCCAGCCTTTTCCTGCCCACCACCACCCCCTCGCTCCCCCAGCCCCTGGGCAGGAGCTGGGTCTGTCCTGGGGGAGGTGATCCCGCTGGGAATCAGTTCCCAGCACAGGAGGGGAGCTCTCCCTGAGGCTTCTCTCCGCGCCCCTCATCGTCCCGCAGGCGCCAGCCCTGTGGCTGGGTGCCAGCGTGCCAGGTCATCCCCCAGTAAATAAAGGAGCAATGTGTTTCCAGCCCCCCAATGCTGTTTTCTAAAGGGAAATGATTAATGGTGCTTGGAAACCACAATTCATCCCGGGAAAGAAAGTAGATTTACCCGAAACATGCGTGAGAATTAGTGCTGGGATGGGCTCCTGGGGCAGAGGGGGGAAAGCTAATGGCAAACAGAGCCCGTCTGTGCGCAGGGGGAGGGAATGGCCTGCCAAAAACATGGGCTGGAGGAGCTGGGATGGAGCTCCAGGAGGAGGAGAGTGGCCATCACAGCCAGGTTCCCTCCCCAGCTGGGAACCTCGGTCACTCCTTCCCTGACCCACAGTGAGATGTCACGGTGGAGAAGGGAATTCTCCTCTCACGTGTGTCCCAACAGCACAGCAAAGGATGGATGGTGCAGATGGCACCAACACTCACCTTTCTCAGAAGTCCAGGGGATACCTGGGACAAGCAGGAGTTGCACCAGAACCATGAAGCTCGGGCCTGTAAACGCCAAATGCTTCCAAAATGTCTGTTTTATGCTCAGGGAATGTTCTCACCTTGCTCCTGCTGGGGGGATCCACTGGGATAACTGGGATGGGCTGGGGTGCACCACAGCACCACGGAGCCTTCCAGGTGCTTCATTCCTGAGCAGGAAACCTCAGAGAAGGGGAAAACACAGTTTTTCTCTGTAAGGGTCAAAGGGAGGTGGCTGTGGCAGCCCCGGCATGGAGTGTGGGAGCTGCAGCATCTTCCTGCTGAGCTTCCAAGTTCATGGAAAAGGTTTTCAGACACAAATCCTGACCTGGTTCTAAGCTGCCGTGCTCTTCTGTGCCCAGGAGAGCAGCAAGGGAGGGGAGCAGCAACAGGTGACATGAATTTATCACCTGAATCCAGAGATAACCCCAAGATCCTGCCTTTACCTCAGTTCTGGATCAAGGCAGCAGCTGGCTCCACGCAGATCATGTCCAATCAGCAGCGTGGAGGAGCTCGGACAGGGCTCTAGGAGAGAGATTTATCTGTGGGATTCCAGGAAGGGCTGGGGAAACCTCGGTGAGGTGCTGACGCCCAGGTCAGGAGTCATCCCTGGCTCGGTGATATATTTAGAGCAGGATAATGTAAGTGACAGGAGGGAAAAAAAATTTTAAAAGTCCGTGGAGGAGGTGCAGATCCGTCCCCTTGGCTGGGAGTTACTGGATGATCCGAGCCAGGGAACAGATAGTTGGATTTCCCTTATTTCTCCCTTCAAATAAATCACAGCTCCAGAGGCCTTTAAACTCTGCAACATGATCTGTTCCAATAAGGAAGGGAATGAAAGGCTGCGTCTCTCTGGAAGCCTTCAGAGCCATAAATCTCCTATGTACAAACACAGACCAGATTTCCAAGTGCATTTATTTTATTGTATTGTTTTAACAGAAAAATCAAACTGCAATAAACTCCGTCCCTCATTAGCTGTCTCCATATCCAGGCCAAATGTTGCTAACGAATAAAATCAGGACAAAGGAATGTGGATGTGGGTCCAAGTCCTGGCCGGGTGCTGACCCCCCAAAAGGCATTTCCCTCTGAGCCTCACAGAGGTGTGGGATGAGGGGAACCAAGGGGGTGGTTCCTGCACTGCCCACTGCTGCAGGTCTGCTGGGGTTGTCACCCCAAATCCAGCACCCTGCCATGGACCTGGCACCCCCGGTATGGACCTGGCCCCCCTGCCATGGACCTGGCACCCCCACCACGGACCTGACACCCCCACCATGGACCTGGCCCCCCTGCCATGGACCTGGCACCCCTGCCATGGACCTGACACCCCCAGCATGGACCTG